CACAAAGAGATAGATTAAAAGCAACACAAACTAATAATTCAAAGCAATAGAAACGCAGAGAGCTAGCTATGAGTGCATGAAGTACCTTCTCTCTAACTCATGGAATGACAAATATGAAGAGACTAATTGCAGATGTTGTGTGTGATAGAGAGAGATTGAGGGATTATAGTTTCAACAAACATGTTAGTGGTCTAGCGGTACCAAGGTTTTACTGCTCATAGAGAGATCAGTGGTTCGAGTCTGCATGAAAGCATGTGTGTGTGAGTACTAAAAAAAAATAAAAAAATAAAAAAAAATTATACATTCAGATGTAAATGTGAAAGTGTGATTCAAACGTAAACAAGAAAGATTATAATAAGAGAGAATGAGAAGATTAAAAAAAAGAAAAAATAAGATGACAAGAACAAGTAGTTGGTTGAATCATCAGACAGAACCATAACGATTTCAAAAATAAAAAATGCTCTATTGGTGGTGGCATTAATATTTTTTTATTTGAAAAAAAGGTAGGCAATTGGATGGATTTCACTAGCACGATGAAAAATCACCCCAAGGTTATTCCTAAGCTTTAGAGCGTAAGCTTATTTTAAAGATTATGTTCAATAATTGAGGCAACAATAGTAATATTTTATATCATGGATTAATTAATTCAATACTTGTCAATCGAAGATTAGTTCAACAGTTGACAACTACTCAATACTGTGTATATTAATTCAATATATTGAAGCAACTACATAATATAATTTGGTTTGAAGCAAGTGCACAATATTTTGTATCATAAATTAGTTCAATCATTGAAACAACTAAAAAATAATCTTTTCTTAAAGACTTAAGTTCCATAACTGTAGAATATTTAACCTTTCTTTAGGAAGGAAAACACTCATGCCATTTGGGCTAATAATAAATTATTTCAATAATTGAAGTAACTATTTATGTATAAAATTACTTCAATAAAATTAAAGAAGGATAAAATTACTTCAATAAAATGAAAGAAGGAAAAATTACACTTAAGTAGATTTACGAGCCTTAAATAACAAATCAATCTATTTTTTAAGTTAATTTTTTAATTTGGTCGAGTTAGATAAAATAATTACATATACATTAAAAACTATTATTTAGGTCCAAAATTGTAACACCCGTGATTCTTTTAGAATTGAATATTATAAATATAGATTGTCAATAATAAAAATAATAAGAAAGAACCAATAACAAACTGCTGAATGTGTGTATGATCTTTGTTATGGAATAGTTCAAGAATTTAGTAGCCATCCTCTACTTTCTAAAATGGAATGTTGAGCATTTAAGTTCCAACTAATATATAAAAAAAAATGTTTATGTCCTCTTACCATGGTGAAAATAAATTTATAAAACTTGAAAAACTTCGGATTTGAATTGATTATGTATTTACTTATTTGAATTATTAAGTTGGCATGAGTGAAGGGAAAGGGCTAGCCCCCTCAAAAATTGTAGTTTCCTCTAAATACTCTAAATACTTTGTTAGAAATTTGTCTAAAATTCATTTATGACATGGCAAAAAAAAAATATTTTGGCTGTAGAAGTGTGATGGTGAAGCTTCCAAAGAAAGCTTTGAAATTCTTGGGCAGCAAGTGCCATTTGGCTTTCAAATGAAGCTTTGTAATATACTTGGACACCAAGTATATTTATGACTATAAATAACCTTGCACTTATTCGATGAAAAGCATCCGAGAGGCATCCAAGAGTAAGACAATATTCGGATCAAGAGAATGTATTGATTTTGTGTGTGAGAGAAAATCCTTTTGTGTGTACAATCTTCAATAGAGAGTTAAAGTTTGTATTCGGGTGGGTTTTTTCTCTTTGTGCAAACCATATATTATTTGGGGTATTTCTTGAGTGTTGAGTTAGTCTTCTTTGTTGGTGAGTGAGTGGTGTGAGAAGAGAGATTTTTGTGAGGAAGAACCAAAACGTTTTTCAGTTTGTAATCATCTTCTTTATAGTGATACGAATCATCATCGCCCGTGGACGTAACCCTATTTCTGAGGGGAACCACGTACAAATCCTTGTCTCGTTTGTGTGTGCCTATTTATTTTCTTGTCATTATTTTTCTCTTGTTCTCATAAACTCCTATTCGATCCTTATTTCATAACAAACTGGTATCAGAGCTCAGGTTCGTGCATTGTGTACAGATAAGGTTCACACGTACGGTACTGTTCACAGATATGGTACTATTCATCGAGAAATTTTTTTTGGGGAGTTTTTTGAGATGTCATCAAAATACAAGATTGAGAAATTTGATAGCAAGATTAGTTTCAGTCTTTGGCGCATTAAGATGCAAGCCGCACTCAACGAGGTTTTGGCAAAGGAAGAGTTAGAAAGAGGAGTTACGATCCTAATTCTCAAAAGGGTTGTGAAGGGACTACACAACATGGTGGGAGAATGAAATCCGGTTTCAGATGGCAACCGAAATTGCAGTAGTCCTTACAGGGAGGCAGACCCATGAGGACAGGTGTGATATTGACTTGCAATAATCTTAGTGGCAATGAGATAGTCCATTCGAGTGCCATTAAGATGCGTGAGAGGCAAGTAGTTGGTCACAATAGAGATGCGAGGAAAAGTCAAGGACGTCCTATTCTCCACAAGGGTGAGAAGATGACTTTTCATTACCAGCTAGTGGTTTGTGGGCGGTTAGAGAAGGTTGCTGAAGGAGATGTCAAACTTGGAATTTTTGAGGTTGTTTTTGGTAAGCATTTAGAGTTTGACACAAATACTGGAGGTATGTTTGTGCCTGCGCAAGACATGTATGGGTTGAAGAATGAGAGCCCGAGGGTTAAGTTTGAGGATGACTCAAACTTAACTAAAATTCCTTATTAATTTGTTTTGTGTTGGAGATGATGATGGCGTTATTTTTATCACTCACATTGTGTTGAAAAAAGACTCTTTATGATGTTGTCTTATCATTTCTGTTAAGGTGGATAAATTTTGCCAATGATGGAGTTTTGTGGCTTATTCAAAATTTTCGCCAAGGTGAAGAATTTTAGTCAAGGTGGAGATTTGTTAGAAATTTATCTAAAATTCATTTATGAAATGACAAAAAAAAATCTTTTGGCTATAGAAGTGTGATGGTGAAGCTTCCAAAGAAAGCTTTGAAATTCTTGGGCAGCAAGTGCCATTTGGCTTCCAAATGAAGCTTTGTAATATACTTTGACACCAAGTATATTTTTGGCTATAAATAACCTTGCACTCATTCGATGAAAAACATCTGAGAGGTATCCAAGAGTAAGACAATATTCGGATCAAAAGAGTATATTGGTTTTGTGTGTGTGAGAAAATCATTTTGTGTGTACAATCTTCAAGAGAGAGTTGAAGTTTGTATTTGGATGGGTTTTTTCTCTTTGTGCAAACCATGTACTATTTGGGGTATTTCTTGAGTGTTGAGTGAGTATTCTTTGTTGGTGAGTGAGTGGTGTGAGAAGAGAGATTTTTGTAAGGAGGAACCAAAACGTTCTTCAGTTTGTAATCTTTTTCTTTATAGTGATACGAATCATCATCGCCCGTGGACGTAACCCTATTTCTGAGAGTAAACCACGTATAAATCCTTGTCTCGTTTGTGTGTGCCTATTTATTTTCTTGTCATTATTTTTCTCTTGTTCTCATAAACTCCTATTTGATCCTTATTTCATAACATACTTATAGCCTTACAATTGCCATATAGGTCTACCATTTCAACTTCCCCGCAAACATTTCATTGCTCTCGATGTCTCTGTCTCTCTCTCTATTTATTATATAGAAATATATATGATGCTGAGTAAGAACTAAGAACAAAAGAGTGCTGAAGCAAGACTACAACAAAATTTAGCATTTAATCTCTCGTCAGACTTCTTCTTACTATTGAATAATATGAACAAAATATGAAAATGAAGATTCCTATTGAATATGAAGATTTTGTATACTTTTTGCTGGTACTCACCTTTTGGGTGAGACAAACCACCACACATTTTGCTCTCGATATGAATGCTTTTTCAGCTGTTGAGAGTGAGTTTTGCATCTCTTCAACACTAATCTTATGTTCACTTTTAGGAACTATGTATTGGCTCCCAAAAACTAAGATGATAAAAAAAGAATATGGAAAATTACTCAGAGAAATGATTTGTGTTACAAAAACAATAATATTAAGTAGTAATGTCAATGAACAACAATAATGATAATGAAGAGCAATAGCAACAATAAAAACTACAACAATATTATAATAACAATAAAAACAATCATCATGATGTCTAGAATTAAATAACTTTTATCGGATAGAGAACAGGCAATTGGACTCTTTCTGCATGTTCCATATCCTTGAACTCTCGCACCGCAATGAAACCTAACAATCATCACCAAAATAAAATAAATACCTAAGAATCATCCAAAGTTAGTAAGCGAATGAAAAATTAATGCATTAGATGGATGAAAAAAGGAGCAAACTTACTTCGAAAATGTATAAAACTTGAATACTCATCCGAGTTCCCTATCATGAGAAACGAATTTGAGTAATGGAAGGAATAGAAATAATCACAGTAAATGCCAATAAAAGACTAAAAAACATCACAAATTTTGAAAATAAAATGCCAGTAAATGCTAATGGACTTGTGGTAATAATCACAATTTTAATTTTTATCACTAAAATCATAAGACAATTTGTTTGGTAATAAATCTTATTCAATGACTTGGAAGAAAAAAAAAGTTATTAAACGCCAATAAAGACCATCCTAACTTAAATTTTTGAAAAACCTTGTCTATCATAATTCTTTTTCTTTTTCTTTTTTTTTAATAAAAGATCATCTAAATTATGGATTACTATAATGGATTTTAACCAAATATCTTTCTTGCTACTAGCATTTCTGTATCGTGAATAATATTAACTCTATTTTATTATTTTAAGAAATTATAAATATAAAAAGAAGTAGGAAGAAAGAAAAATGGAATACGACTCTCACCTTTGGTGAATGCTTCTTCTGTGCATATTTGGTTCGGACCTATCCCTACAGTTTGTAGGTTTTATAATAGAATCCCTTAACCTTGATTGAGTACTTGATAGTTGGTATATGCTTAACGATGTGATAGTCTTGGCCTTCCTCTCCTCTCATTCTTTGTATGAATTTTGCTGGCATATCAACAAACCCGAGTTGTGTAAGTTTTTTGAGGTGTTGAATGGCAGACGGCACCTCCTTCAATTGCGGGCTAGGCCCAATTTCTAGCTCCTCAAGAAGTGGCAATGCTCCTTCCTCTATTAGCAATGAATTCAACTCCTGCAACTCATAGAGATATAACACCTTAAGTTTATGAAACCCATGTGCCCCAAAATACAATCTCTCGCCATCATATCCCTTACGGAGAGCTAACAATAACAGATTAGGCAAGTCTTGCAGGGTTTTTATCGGATCACCACTTAATCCTGAATAATTTAGGCTTAATCTGACTAGATTTTGAAGTTTAGGGATCCAATCCGGCAACTTCCCTAAACGCCCATGCAAGAAGAGACATTCCAGACACTGAGGTGGAGATGTCATGCATTGTAAATCCAGGATCTCATCTTCGCTTACTGCTCGAACGCTAAGGTAAGTAAGGTGTTTCATTTTCTCAATGGAGTCAATGAGAGCCCTCCCATTTTCTCTTCTCAACATTTTGATACCCAACTTTCTCAACTCCCTCAAATTTTCCAGCTCTCTAATTATTTGGTCAAACCCTTCATGACTTGCCTCCACATCACGTAGTTTATGCAGTTCCTTTAAATGCTTAATTCCTTCATGCACTTTCACTCCTCTTCTAAAATCAATTGAGCTATCAACATTGTAGTTAAAATCGTAGGCCAAAAGGTGTCGCAACTTATGTAAATTACTAATTTCATTGGGTAGCTCATTCACGAGAGAGTATTTCAGATCTAAAGTCTGCAAGTTGTATAGCTTGCCTATGGACTTTGGAAGGATCTTCACTTTTGTATCCCTCACACTTAAGTACCTCAAGTGGAATAACTTTCCAACCTCTTTAGGAAGATTATCGAAAGGAGCACCTTCAAGATCTAACACCTTCAATAACTTGAATTTTGCAAACAACGTACCTAAAAATGGCTTTGGCAACTCGTCATCCACTTTAAAAATCAAACAAGAGCGAATTTGGAGCTTACCGATGGTCTCTATAACATTATAAACATGGTTATGGAATGAAAGTCGCCGAGGTTGTCCATCAAAACTTGAGTGATCTTCCACAACTTGACAAAAACTCAACTCCTCGGATTTTTGAACGATGAGCTCACGGATCAAGTCATGCACCCGACAAGTACGAATTTTGGATTCTAAATTTAGCTTAGTCACTTGAACCAAACTTCTGCGAATTAGCTCGGTCAAGTATTCTTCTGCAACCTCTTCCAAAGTTTTTCCTTTTTCTGGTTTTACAAACCCCTCTGCTATCCACAACCGTATCAATCTTCCACCACGAATAAAGAAGTCTTCCGGTATTATGCTCAAGTACAAGAAACAAGATTTGAGATAGTAAGGAAGATCGTGATAACTGAGCAATATGACTTTTGTAATACTTGTAAGATGTGGATTCCTTTGTAACTCATTACCGAGGCTATTGTACATCCTTTCCCATTTGGATACAATCTTGTTTTTTGTTGATAACAAACCACCTATTGCCACAATTGCAAGTGGCAATCCTTCACACTTGCCAACAATTTTAAGAGAAACTTCCTTCAATTCTGATGGACATTGACCCTCAAAGTCTAATTGGAACGTCTTTTTGCAGAAGAGTTCCCAAGCCGCGTCTTGAGAGAGAGGCTCAAGTTGGTGGACGTAATCAAATAGAGATTCTTTGCAAGAAGCAGCGACATCATCATTTCGAGTGGTGATGATTACTCGACTGCATTTGTTGTTCTTTGGTAAAGCATGTTTTATGAATCTCCAAAAGTCTATTCCCCATACATCATCAAAAACGACCACATACCTTCTCACTTCTAGATATTCCTTTAACTTTTCAATGAGTGAAACTTCTTCCATTGTATCAATTCCCTCAGGAACAAGCTCCTTTGTTGATCCGTACATCTGTTTGATCATTTTTCTGAGAAGCTCCTCCATCTTGTAGGATTGAGAGACAGTGATCCAAGCATGACAATCAAAGTGTCTAGTCACTTTTGGGTTGTCATAAATTTTCTTGGCAACAGTGGTCTTTCCGGATCCACCCATGGCAACAAGAGAAATCACTGCACGCGTTGCTTGTTCTGCCAATAGCTTGCTTATCAATTCTTCTTTGAGAGTTTCAATGCCTACAACTTCATCTTCAGCAATGAAAAGAGAAGCCGATCGAGGGTCATGCCACATGCCATCTTTTGTGCCACTGCTTGATCCTTGCTCTAAGGAACTCAAATTATATTTATCAGCTCTTTGCTTGATCTCCTGGATGGTTGTTTTGATCTCTTGAATCTCGGAAGCTATCTCATGTCTTCGCTTCAGTTTAATAACTGGGCGAGCGACTTTAAGAATGAAAGTGATGAAACCACGCTGATGAAATGGCTTTGCCAAGTGAAGTATGTATTCATCGATAACATCTTCGATCTTATAAGAAACTTTCCTTATGTCTTTCACCCAAAGTTGCAAGCCGTCACTGATCTTTGCGGTTTCAGCCCTGACATCTGCATCCTTCAAGAAACACAGTATGTATTCCAATTCATCTTTGATGCTGGCAACTTCTTCATGGACACCCTTCAGCAATTTTGCTTCGTTGGTTAACAGTGGGACCAAATTGTTAATAACAGAGCTCACTGCAGTTTCCGCCATTGTTTTGTTCCTTTGATCTGCTTAAGAATACCAAATTGTTAATAACAGAGCTCACTGCAGTATCGCGTTGATTTTGAAGAGGAAGAGGATGGATCCTGCCCAAGAAATGAAAAAAAATTAAAGGGGTGTCCCAAAAATATTATAAAGCAAAAAAGAAAGAATACAAATGTAGATACTACTGTTAGTGATGAAAAAACTGAAGCAGTGGATTTTATTTGGTTGGAGGTTGTTAAGTGTTTTAAATCCACAAATAAAACGAGTCTCACTTTGAAGGACAAACAAGATAGAAAGAAAGATAAAGAAAATGAGATGGAGACAAATTGAGAAAAAACAAAAAAGAGATTGCAAATAGAGGGAAATGCAAATTCAGATGTACGAGAGGAATCCAAATTGAAACAAGAAGTAAACCACAAATGTATAATACAAAGCAAAAAGGCAGAGAAGTTAATTGTTGAAGAAACTAAAGAGAGAATTCAAAAGTACCTCTTCATGCTTATGGAATGACAAACTGATATTGATCTAGAGATTGCAAGTTCAGATGTAATAAGAGTGAAAGCCAGATTCATAAGTCAACCAGAAAGATTATAAGTGACAAAGATAAGATTAAGAAAAAAGAAAAATTAAGACGACTTTCAAATTATCACATAGAACCATTACCAACTATAAGAAGATTCAGAAGGAGAATCTAGAGAGATACAAATTGAGATGTAAAAGAGTGCGTAATTCAAATTTAACTGAGTGAGAATAAGAGAGTGCCAAATTGAAATAAGAAGTAAACCACAAAGAGATAGATTAAAAGCAACACAAACTAATAAATTGAAGCAATAGAAATGCAGAGAGCTAGGTATGAGTACTGTTGAAGAAACTAAAGAGAGAATTCAGGAAGTACCTCCTCTCTAACTCATGGAACGATAAACACGAAGAGACTAATTGCAGATGTTGTGTGAGAGAGAGAGATTGAGGGATTATAGATTCAGATGTAAATGTGAAAGCCAGATTCAAAAGTAAATGAGAAAGATTATAATAAGACAAATAATAAGACAATGAAATGATTAAAAAAAAGAAAAATTAAGATGACTTTTGAATCACCAAACAGAACCATTATGATTTCAAAAATAAAAAATGCTCGTTTGGTGGCGGCATTAATATATATATATATATATATATATATATATATATATAAAGAAGGCAATTGGATGGATTTCATTAGCACGGTGAAAAATCACCCCAAGGTGTGGTCTTATTCCTAATGTTGGCTTGAGCTTTAGAGCCTTAGCTTATTTTAAAGATTATGTTCAATAATTGAGGCAACAATAGTAATATTTTATATCATGGATTAATTAATTCAATACTTATCAATCGAAGATTAGTTCAACAGTTCACAACTACTCAATACTGTGCATATTAATTCAATATATTGAAGCAACCATATAATATAATTTTGTTAAAGATTAGTTCAATAATTGAAGCAAGTGCACAATATTTTGTATCATAAATTAGTTCAATCATTGAAACAACTAAAAAATATTTTTTTTTCTTAAAGACTAAGTTGGATAACTACAGAATATTTAACCTGTCTTTAGGAAGGAAAGCGCCCACGCCATTTGAGCTAATCATAAATTATTTCAATAATTGAAGTAACTATTTATTTCTAAAATTACTTCAATAAAATTAAAAAAAAGGAAAAACTACACTTAAGTAGATTTAGTAGTCTTAAATAACAAGTTAAGTCTATTTTTAAAGTTAATTTTTCAATTTGGTCGAGTTAGGTAAAATAATTACATATACATTAAAAACTATTATTTTTGTCCAAAATACCATCCAAACTTTTATTTCAAAATATCAAAACATCCTTCCTAAATCAAAAAAGTATTTCATTCATAAAATTTAGAAAAAAAGATTTGTGAGTTGACTTTCAACTTGACATTTCTGCATAGTATATATATTATCAAAATAAATAAAATAGAAAACAACACACACACACAGATAGATATATATATATATATATATATAATTTGTCATTAGCACGGTGAAAAATCACCCCAAATAATATTATTTATTACCCTTTAAAAACTATGTAAGGTCCAAGAAGTCTAGGATATTATTTAATAATTGAAGCACCTGTGCAAGAGGCACTGTAATTAAAGGTGTGACTAATGCGACAAATTAATTCTATGCTAAACTGTTCAACTTCAAAAGAATATTTTCTAGCTCTGCTTTCTAAACTCTATTCACACGAATCACACCCTCGCATAGATGAGATTCAATTAAATAAAATAAAAAAGAATAATTTGAGTAAATAGGTTAAAAAAAAGTGCTTATTAATTAATTTTTTTAAAAAAAAATTCTTATTTTATTGGTCATTTCTATTCATTTCCGCGAGGGTTGAATAAGCATTACATCCTCACAAAGTCTTTTGCGAGGAGGTTCTTGTAGTTCTTGTTTCTTATTATACTATTCAAATTTTCACATGTTGAACACTTTATTTTATTTTATTAGGTAAGTACTGACACAAATTAATCCATTTTTATCATATCATTGAAATAGAAGCGGCTTGAGGATAGGGCGTGCGAGACACATGCAAAGAAAAAAAAAAAAAAAAAAAAAATCCATTTAACTACCATATAAAAATGGATCACTATTTGTCCAGCGGAGAATCCAAACCAATCGGATACAACAAAATAAAAGAGGGAGGCCTTATTCCTAGTGCCGGCTTGAGCTTTAAAGCCTTAGCTTATTTTAAAGATTTTGTTCAATAATTGAGACAACGATACAGTATATTATATCATGGGATTAATAATTAATTCAATACTTTTTTTTTTTTTTTTGAAAGATTAATTAATTCAATACTTATCAATCAAAGATTAGTTCAACAGTTGACAACTACTCAATACTGTTTATATATTGAAACAACTATATAATATGATTTTGTTAAAGATTAGTTCAATAATTGCAGAAAGTATACAATATTTTGTATATAAAAAAAATTAAACCAATTAATTATACAATATTTTGTCGGGTTAATTTGGCTGACACCCCTCCTCAAGTTTGGTCAAATATCATATTAAAATACCTTTTGAAAATAACTTTCACTCACATGGTGATACATGTAAAATGACTAAAATATCCTTTGACTTTGTAAAAGAAAAAAAAAAATCTTTTAACCTAAGTACTTTGCAAAATTATAATTATATTATATATATGATTTTTGTATTGGTGGATATGAGGTGTCTCATATCCACCAATACAAACTCGTTGGATGATAAAAAAAGATAGAATAAGAAATTAAAAGTGAAAATTCAAAAAGAGCGTAATTCAAAAAAAAAAAAAGTTAATAATAATAATAATAATAATAATAATAATTGGAGAGAACTAGCTATGAGTACCGTTGAAGAAAGATGAAGTAAATGAAAAAGAGTACAAACAACACAAACTAATAATACAAATCAAAAGGGCGTAGAATGCAGAGCGCTAGCTATGAGTACTGTTGAAGAAAGAGATAATTCAAGAAGTACCTCTTCTAGCTGACGCATTGCAGATTCAGATGTAAGGTTCAAAAAAGTAAACGACATGATACGAACTACAAAGGCACGGTGATATAGCGAATTTTTAAAAAAATAAAGTAGATTGGAATACAATAATAAAAAATAAAAAATTATATTTTTATATATGCATAAAAATTTGTATTTTGTCAATTTTAAGAAATATTAAGAATCTAAATGCAAACATTAATTAACATAACCTAAGAGTTGGTTTCATAAAACATAAAACAACCTTTATCATCACTTAATATATACTCCGTGTGAACTTTTCTTAACAATTACACTATTACATTATTGTTCAAAAAGTTACATTTTAAGGTTCAAATTTTGTTAAAAATGTGTTTTGAAGCATATGAGAATTATCGGATACGTGGTCAAAGAATCTGCAAAATTTTTGATACGTATTCAAAATTTGAATACATTTAAAAAATATCAAACACGTATCCGCCTCCGCCCGAGCGGCCATGGCCCCCCCAAATTTTTGGAAATTTTTTTTACTACCTTATCAGAAATTTTGGAATTTTTTTTTACTACCATTAAATTGTTAATTAATTTGTAAATTTTGCCTCTAAATCTATCCCCCCGGCCCAAAATATTTTTAACACATATATTGACCAGTCAATATTTGTGAAAATTCTATTAATAGCCCCTAACTATTAATTAATTTGTAGATTTTGTCCCTAAAATTAATTAAAAATTTCAATTGGCCCCCTAATCTTTTTCAAAACACATATATTGACCCAAAATAAAGAGTTTGAAAATAAATTTAATTTTTGTCTCCTTGAAATTTAAATATTTTTCAACTTCCACTCTTTTAACTATACTTTTAAAAGCTCAAATATTATGAAACAAAAATTTAAGTTCATTATTATTATAGTCATTTTTTTCTTTTTGGTAAATAATTATTATACTTGGTATCTCAACACATTATTATTTTATTTATATATCATATGTACGATATCTATAATATTAATTCAATAGAGAAAAAAAAAAAAAGGAATAAAATAATTAATGTTTCGGTGTTTCCTCATGTTTGGTAAAAATGCATGAAGCATTTTTCGTCAAATATTTTTGTAAAATGGTATTTATAAGAAAATATCTAAAATTATATAACAATCTTTATTGGCAAGTCCTAAGAATATTTGGAAAGAAGATAAACTAAAGTATTGTAAGACTCTCAATAACAATAATAATATTATCTATATACTTTTAGTTATTACTTTTTAAATAACAAATTTTATAACTATTTGTATCTTGTTTAATAACTTAATAATAATCTTGTTGATTTTTTATTTGATTTTTTAAAATTGAGTTAAAATTATGTTGTTGAATTGTGGAATCTATTTAATTTTCTTCTTTCAAAAATTAAATTTTTGAATAATTAAAACAATTGATAAAGGAAATTTAATTTTCTAACAATGTTTATCTCTTTACATATCTTCTCCATAATTTTCTTCT